TATTGTATATATTTTATATATAAATACATATATAATGCACACATACATGTATATTATTTTGCATCAGAAATCAAAGACAAGCTATGAAGCTTGATTTTAGCAAATCTCAGACAAGGGCAGATCAGCAAATCTCATTTCATACGTCATGTTTCCATCAGTACATACTCCTGAGTGCAGACCAGGATTTACACAACTGCAAGGTGCTTTCCTCTAGCAAATACAAAGCAGAACTGCAAGCACTATGGAATCCCAATCAACATTTTCCAGTAATTTTCTAATGTGTTTCTCGAATATGCTCTGTGTGTCACTGAAATGAAAGATGATGAGTCAACTTACTAAGAATTTACAAACTGTCAGAGCACTGAATTCTTTTGATCTCGATAAAACTGGCTCAGTCTCATTTTGTTCATTAGCCCTAACTCTTTACCAGTTGCGAGCCAGCCAATCTGTGTCCTTTTCTGCAAGATGATTTATTTGCCAAGGAAAATCTGTTAGTGCTTTCTTGCTCTTACTCTAAAACTTTGCTTGTTGCTTGTCAAAATCCTCCTGCTTCAGGGAACCTCATTTCATTCATATATGATCCAATTAACAAGCTGTCTTTCCTCCCCCAATAGCTCTCTATTAGCTCCTCCCTGCATTTCCACTAATTGTTCACCTGTGGATTCTAAGGACTTTCTGTTCTCTTGTAATCCAGAAAAAGTCATTATTTTGCTCTTTTCTCCTTCCTTTTTTTTTTTTTTTTTACTTTCTGGACAACTACTTGATGAAATTCTATCATTATTCATCAAGTTCCACTTTGCTGAGGACTTACAAAAAATGATAAAAAATCTCAGAAAACAACCTGCTGCACTGCTTTGAGCCATGTCTTGTTCATTCCTTTACGTATTAACACGGTAACATAAATATCCACGCGATTTGAAAAGCAAGGATGTCTTAAGCTATACGTTATCAATAATTTTCAGGAAAGTTATTTGGCAAGGGTAGCAGGGTTTTCTTCTCAGCTATTTCAACTGAAAAATTATTGAATGTGGAGTCTGCAACAAGCAGGTATCCCTACTTACGCAGCAATTCAATTACAACACTGTTCAGTGAAGAACATCTTGATGTGTTCACTACGCTCTGTTGATGGAAAAATACTGTACAGTCCAAAAACTGTTTCAGCACTTCATTCTTACTCTTCACCAATCAAAAATCACAGTTGTCATAGAAACTGTAAAAACTGAAGTCAGTCATGACAAAACAATGGGATAATGGAAAATGTCTGCTGGCTCAAGTTTTCATGTCAGAAATGCCTCAGTGAATTTAAATGGAGACTCAAGTAGTTCCTCACATCTTGTAGCAACAGGTGTGATTGTTTTTAATAATCTGGTCAGAGTCTGGAAAGCAGTAGTATTGCTCTTTCTTTACACACTGGTTATACTAAATGCTGGAAAACCCTTCCCAAGCAATTCAGCATGAGTCTCTGGGTTAAGAAGACTGAATTTCTTTGATTCAGAGTCCAAGATATTCTGGAGTGACTTTTGGCTTCTGTTCTCAACATTTCTACAATCTCATTTTTGGCCTTTTAAACCAAAGCAAATCAAACATCACTTTACAAACACACTGCCATTACTTTCTGCCTCTCACATATTCTATCCAGAAAAAGAATTAAGCTGCAGACCTCTGCCCCAACCCAAAAAGGTCCAGCTCCATGCAAAACATTTTTTTAGGTTCTTTGCATGCAACACATGTCAGCAAAACAAAGCTCTACTCTTGACTAACAAAGGGTACAAGAGCCACCTCTACCACCCTGTGCCTGATCACAGACCAAAAACCCACACAAGTGTTCTTCCATAGCGTTTCACTGTGACCACCTGACATCTGATAATTACCAACTGACAGGTGTGACTTACTGCAGCCAGTTACCCTTCAAGCAGATACCACCCTTTTGAAAAGAAAATAATCATAATACACAAAGAAAATAGCTAGGCTGGTTCCATTGCAAGTGAACAAACTGTCTTCTAACACTTCATTGACCCTCTTTGCCTATGGATTATAATTAGCAGAAAGGGTACAGTTTGCAACACGCTTCATCAATTTGTAGAAGGTTAACGGACATTAATTAGATAAACTTTTCCAGCTGCACTTGAGCTTAAGTTTGGGAAAGCACAAATCCCTGTCAAATTCCCTAACCAAGAGTTTAGAAGATTTAAAACAAAGTGAAATATTGCTTCCAATAAAATGAATAGCAAACAATGAGTGAAAAAGTAAACTTTCCTTCAAGGGTTTAACAAACACTATTCACCCTTCCTTTACAAGAATGGCATGAATTAATTTGCTTACACAGCACAGTCACCTTATCAGAAAAGAAAAGAACTGTTTGATTCACACAAGGAATACTTAAATGTTTGGGTGGGATGGAAGGGAGGAAAAGAGTTACCACAGCTGGAACAGCAGCCAATAACACTTATGAAATGCTGTAACTTCTCACTCCTTGGTTCAGCGGTAAGTTCCACATCTAAAGCACCACTTAACATTTCTATACACTATTGGTGCATTTACTATACTTGTACATATATATATATGTATTCACACACACAAATATACATACACTTTTTCAAATTACATATACATTTATGCTCTTACACACCAATGCTTTTTGGATACTATAAATATATACAAATGTGTACTCTAACATACATCATACAGTGAAACTGGCACATTCATTTCCATGCATGCTACTGGAAACATGAAAACTAATAAAACACTACTGTAATCTTTTAAATGTTTTGGATATGCCCAACATTTACTTTTGATTAAAATACATGACCACAGGAAAATAAATAAAAGAATTAATGTTAAATGCTGAGTATTAGTTATTAACAGCAGTCTTAATTGATGTTTAGCTTATGAAATACTGTTATATTATTACATTCCAGTATCACAAAGAATTGCTGTGTATTGAGCTCATGGCCTAATAGAGGATTTTTTATATTGCAGTTGTGTGTCTCAGAAGTCCCTTGGAGAAGCAATGAATCTGCACACGTACTGATAAAGAAGAGCGAGAAGAATTCATATGAACCTTCTGAGATTTTTCTGAACAGCACATTGGCTTTGGGCACATTGTAGGAGCACAGACTTCAGGGAACATGTGCATAGCATAAAACACACCACTGCATAAAGTGGGCTGAGAAGGAAAGAATCCAACTGATCTCATATGAGGTTAGAACAAATACACTTCACATATTTTAAAAACCTGCTGTTATACATACAGCATGTGGTACTGAGAATGTAGTTGCATACGGCAGCAAGCCACGTTTTCATGTTTTGCCACGTATTTAAGTATTATACAACCTAATCCCACAAGTTTATCACGCCATTGTTATTTGTGAATATTCTTATTCCAACTTGTGCAGTGGGAGATCTCAAACTGCTAATAAATTTTAAACATCTGGGTTTTACAGAAGCTTATGACTGGTAGAAAGCAACAGCAAGAGAAGACAGGAATGTGAAAATGACTATTACCACCATTTGGTTGGAAAGGAATATTCTGAAACAAGATATAAAATTCCAAATCCTATTGTACAAAAAGCCTTATGCAAGCAGTAAACTGTGATAGTTGCACACTTTTAAAAACAATGGTTTTAGAAAAAGAAAACTGTTTTTAGATCATACCACTAATTTCTCTTTGAGGAAACAAACCAGAAATTACCACAAGTACCTCAGCTAATTTATATCAACTACTGCATTTTCTTGGACTACGGTTCTGATGCTTGGATAAAAATACCACTGTAAAAAGAATATGTGGCTTCTATTTTGACTCCACTATATTGTCCAAGATTCAGCTATGAAGAGCCGCGTTCCTTAAATTCAAATTTAATTACTTATTTCTACTTCACACACACAAAAAAACAACTACTTCAATCAGCTTATTTTGTGATTTATAAAGTCTGTTATTGTAGCAGTCATAGATTCTTGTCTATTTTATGTACTTGTTTCTTCCTCTCTCAAAAACCTTAAAAAATAGTTACCCCAAACTGAGTTGCTTTAAAGTACTGCCATTACCGATAGAAACAACAAGCAAATACGTTGTGGCTTTGTTAAGAACGAAACAATGAAAACAAAAACCATATAAAAATGGAAAATCGTCCAAAGCTAAGCAAAATAAACGTGTCTGCACCATGCCCTGAAGCCTATTTGCTAGACTAAAGCACTGGCAGACCGCCAAGCGGAAGAAATTCCAGACTGAAAACCATATTGCAAAGCTCAGAGAGTTCAAGTTCAAGAGCCAACAGCAAGAGCCTAAACACAATCAAAGGAGAGTAATGAGTTGGGGGTGGAGGAGGGGAGTTGACTTCTCATATCTACCTGTGTCTCAGATCATCTCAGTCTTTGTCCTTCTCACTACCATTCTAATTTCAGTGAGAAGCCTAGAGAAAAGTCTGGTTTTTCAAAACCTACTCTACTATCTGCTGTCTTTATTCTGTTCTTCAAGTGTCTCATATAGACATCAAGTATGAATATAACACCATCTCATAAAATATCCTTCTGCTCCTATCAAGGGTAAAAGGAAAAGACTGAGGCTCAGGTGACAGGATGAGTGATTACAAGGATCATCTGCCCGATTTGCAACAGATAGTGCAGACTACTCAGCACTGAACAGACAGAATAAAGCAAAAACACCGGCCTCATATATTAGTTACTGCTGCTTTTTCCTCTTCCTCAAAATTATCACCCAAAACAGAAGATGTTCTCCCATTTTCCTAAAACATTTCACATTCCCTGGTAGTAACTGATATGGTACAAAAGTTATGCAATCTGACAACCACTAACTTTTACCAAAAAAGTCTTCTAGAGGAAAAAGATGTTTTTAAATAGGAAGGATCTCCTCACACTGTTAACACTGAAATGCAGTAAAACAGAAAAAAGAACTTCAAAATAAATGCAGGCAACCTACACTGTGTCTCTTCAAAGTAAGTAGAACTTTTCTGGATGCTTTAATACAACACTTCAGTACTTACGGGTAAAACGATTAGAAGCTGATGGGTGGCCACTGCTTCCGCTATCAGCACTTTCACTGCTAGAAATATCATCATCCGAATCCCACACACAGGCGCAAGGCGAGGTGCCACTAACTTCTTCAAACTTCCTCTTTAAAATTCCACTCATTGCTGCAGTGCTGTCACATGCACCTGTAACAGGAACAGAGGTAATGAAGCATTGAAACACCTGCCTGCTGTTCAAGTCTTCTAATTCATTTCACCTGGAGGAGTTTATATATCATTCTGATACCTCTACCTTTAGTTAAGTGGCTCCTTATCATGGGTTTTTAAACAACTTTTACAGGAGAAGCTGTACAGAATGTCCGAAAGACATTCTAACTCTATTACAGACTGTCTTTTCTTCTTAAGATAGAAAGTGCTATCTGTATTCTACCAGAACAGTCAACATTCCACAACTAATTTTCAGGCACAAAACTAAATAATAAGTATTTCACTTTATGCTTTGGTGAAATGCACGTAATCTCATACAACTCAGTAGAAATGCATATTCATTCACACAACACTTCAAACCTTTCTTGGCACCTAGAACTATTACGTGACAAAAATCAGTATTTGTCACCAAGTACAGTTCAGAATGAAATGCTCAGCACTAGCAAATGCCCATATTTTCAATTAGATTTTAGAGCATGAGATACTTAGCATATTGTCAGGCCAGGCCCTGCAAATACTGTTCTGAGGTCATATAGCAATTTTAATTTACACAGAAGTTTCTTGTGCAGCATTTAGAAAGTTCAGATACTCAGAGCAGTGGCACATACGCAGACTATGTCCATTTATACAAGTATCATGGGATTGAATCTATCCTCATGAACTTTGCTTTCTAACCATACTGTCCAATACCATTGTTTCCCCTTCATTTAAGATACCTGACCGTTTTATCCCTACTTATGGAATGCTAAGTGAAAACAAAATAAAAATTCCTAGATCACGTTAATGCATCTAACAGGCTAAACCAGTTTTTTTTTTTTCTTTATCTTTAATTTAAAAAAAATATATATAAGTTTACTGTCAGCATAATTACTGATTGCATCCTTGTGATATAATTAATTGCAAGATCTTAATTTAAAAGTTACTGATCATATCTGCTCTCTGACTACACTAATCAGTAGAAAGTTGCTGTAAATAGCTGGAGAAAAAAAGACAAATTTAAAAAGCTGCTGCTTGACACTTCCAAGCATACAGTAGCAAAAAATTCTCATTCTTCTGAACATCACTTGCCTTCAGCTTCTATAAGCTGCCAGTTCAATTTAGTTTATAATGAAGTATTTTCCTCCACTAAATTTCATTTTACCCTTATGGATGTGTCTAACTGAGAGAAAAGATTTCAATATAGATGTGGAATGCTACCATAATGCAACATAATGATAAGAACAGATGCTGTATTATCAGCAGATCTTCAACACTGAATTTATTTGTCTGCAGAGCTTACTAAAAATTAAAGAACAAATATATTAGGTTCTAATACTGTCAGACACACAAACACATTTAAATGCATATCCCTTTCATGTTCTTCTCAACTTTTACTATTTACAAAAAAAATTGTTTTCCTGAAAGAGATTTGATCAGGCTAAAGACATGACAAACAGCACATGCTCATATCTCAACTTTGCCCTTTTCTCCAAAAGTAAGTAACTATACGCTGCAAAGAAAGTATTACATTTCTATCCTGAGGACAAGGAAAGGATCATTCTATATCTCCTTACAGTTTACAATAACATCAGCAAAAAAACCAAACCAAAACAAAAAAACCAACACAACTAAAAAAAACCCCACAAAACACAACCTTAGTTTAAATACCGTAAGTTATTAAGATACAACAACTAACACAACCCCACTTAATAAAGAAAACCCACACAGTGACACATTGAAAACCTAGAAAAATGGAAAAAATGAAGAGGGGGAAGAAAACCCCAAAAGTTTTTGAGTCAGAAAAAAACTCTTCCAAACTGCCCTCCCTGTCCTCACTGTATCTCTTGCTGACCACCTTTTCCTCTGCTTCCTGCAGAGCTTACAGCACTGAATTTGCAAAATCACAATTATTTCCATGGCAACAGCCTGCAATATCAAAACCAAAGGATTATAGCTTGACTGCAGAACAGGGTAAAGAAGCAGCTGGAGTGTGAGAAAGAAAATGCTTACACTGAAACATCTCAGTGAAAAGGCAGAAAGAGTAAGAAAAGGGCTGACAGATTTTACTGTGCAATCAAAACCTAGGTCAAATCCATGTCTAAGTACATTGAAATTGTGGCTACAGGAGTCTTAAAGCTCCAAGTCCAAATAAGCTCTGTCATAACTGCACTGCAAGGCAAACCTAATAGCTGTAATCATTACTAGTGTGCAGACTGTCACAAAGAGCTGATTTCATAGCCTGAAATGATTTCTAGACTAAAGCCTTTTTGCCAGACATTGTCTTTTGCAAGTACACCACATAGCACCAAGATGACTAACATGCAACTTGCCCCTCAGTAAAGCTGTCACAGATGGTAAGAGTCTCAGTAACTGTAACTGTTTACAGTTAGTAGCAGAAACAGCTATTTTTAACGACAAAGAGTCTTAAATTTCCTTGCATTTAGCACAGCCCACATTTACATCAAGCGCCATGAGCTGACAGCAGTAAAGCCATCTTATTAAGATTTCTGCAATGAACCGTACCATACGATTTCCAGGATCCCTGGAACTAACGTATACACTAGTTCTAGACCCAGCTAGCTAATATAGTCAAGCCAGGGTACAAGGGAACAGTGGAGAAGTTGAGTATCACTATGAATTTAGGTGCTGTCACTTGTGTAGAAAAAAAAAATCTTTTGATTTGTGTGCCTCTGGTATCAAGTCTCTGCAGAAAAAACATTGGATAGGGGAAAGATACTTCCATTATTCAAAAACGTGGATATTATGCAGATGATATCTGTTTGTACACACTATGTACCAGCAGGAGATTCCTTCAGAATCACATCTGTACAAACAGCTGCCATTCCATAAGCCAATATTCTTCAGAAAGATGCACATCTGCACAGGACTGAGGCATGTTCAGTCTGATGCATTTAAGCCATACCTCATTTACACAGACATCATGCTACCTGTATCACATCCACATCTCCAGGAGCAATAAGCATGGCGGTATACAGCACATCGTGCTTATCCAAGAGTTATTTTGTACTCTGTTGATCACAAAACACATCCCAGTGGAAAACAGAGTAAAACAGCAGTCCAACTTCTGACAGAAATGAAACCACAAAGCTTTTAATATCTGTAAGGGTTTCTGAAGTCCAGAATCAAGAAACGAGGACAGGGAACTGTAATTGAATTGTTACAACTAAATCTGTAGTTTCAGTTTGATTTTTGGGAATCAAACTGAAGCTACCACAGTCACAAAGAAATCCAAACCCATCCTGATCTTAAGACTATACAGGATCTGGGGACAGAACAAGACACCAAAGACTTACTTAAGTTGAACTTTCAGTACATGAGTGGAAAGTAGAAGTCTGAAGCACTACAGTAGCGTGTATATTCTGAAGGTGCATACTTCTGCATAGAATCCAGTACACAAAAAGTACAAGACTCTACAGAAAACGAACATTATATGACTAAGAAAAGCAGATGTGTAGAATACATTAAAATCTGAATTAGAAAAGTAGTAAGTCACTGTTTTCAGCCTCTCAGAAGGATAACAAGAGCTCCATCCTTCAGAGGTGAACACTGAGACAACAATCCAATACAATCAGAGATCCACCACAGCAAACTGCCTGTTCAGATGAAAATTGAAGAGTCCAATTAAAACCAGATGTTTGTGGATAATTATTAAACAGCTGTCTAACAGCCAGAAGCTTTCCTGCCTGTTGATGTACGCTTCACAACAATGTCCTCCACAGTGATGCAATGCAACAACCTCTGCCAGACTCCTTACTGTGCTAACGGGGCACTAAAATGCACTAAGGCTAAGCAAAGCTGAGACAGATGGAGCAGTATCAGAACAAGGAAAATTGGCCACGTGCGCACTGTTGTAGGTCAAATGCCAACGCCTGACACAGACAAGGATTCTTTGAGGAAAGGACAACTTGCCACAGCAGAAGCATGACGTGTGCCTGCTGGGAGAAGGACCTCTTTCTTAAAGCACCCCATCCATCTTTCCTCCTTTTCCTCACACTGGAGAGTAGTGCTACAAAGAGAACATTGTCAGACCTGGGCCAGCAGGCTGGCAAGGTGATGCCTCATGGCACCATGGCAACAGGTAGGCCTGAGTAAGGAGCTTGCAGGCAGAGGTACTGCTGGGAGAGAAAGTCCCACCTGAGTGCAGGCATATTTAAATCAGTCACAGTACCTGTAACCTACAGAGTAAAATAATGCAAAAGCCTGGGTAGATTGACTCTTTCTTGTGCCTGAAAGGGCTGAAGATTTTAGAAAACCATGGTAACAATCGCAACACAGGAGTCCTTTAGAAAGCAGGTATCTCCAGATAGCAGTGAAAAGCCCCAGAAGAGCTGCGTTAGAATTGCTGGTGAGTGGAAGGGAAGGGTGGCAATGCATTGCTTCCTGTAGTCCCAAGAGAAGCTTTTTCCTCCCCTGCTGCCCCCTGAAAGACACGTTGCCAAGCCAGCTCCATACATTGTTAGCTATCACCCGCAGTCCTTCACTGCAATCCACAAACAACAAAAAAGCAAAACAAAAATACAATCCACAGAACAAAAAGTACCAGCACCAGGTTGGGTACACAGAGGAAAAGGCTCTTCTCCTAACTTGCACTTCTGCTATTGCTTTGACATGTGCCAGAAGATGCTAAGAAAACAGACAACAAGCTGCAGTACGGACATAAGGAATTCAGAAAATCTTTCCTTCCTGACAAAGAGACACTTCTCCTAGTCACAATTTATGAAAAAAAATGACTGTGCTGCAAAATTCAGCATTAAATATATATACAGTTTATATGTTTCACCATATGGGTAAGTGAAAAAGCACGGAACATACCTGCAAAGACATGGACACAAGCATGTATCAATGTATCACAGGTAACAGCCAAAACACAAAATCAAAGAGATATGAAATGATGAAATAGGTCCCTGTCTCAGATCATGCATCTTCACGTTCACGATGCATTCAGGAAGCAGATACTGCCTAAAGCTCCAGTAAGAAAA